GAGAACCCTGGCGAGGCCGAAGGTGGGGATCTCGGGCAGGAGGTGCCCGCAGCTGGAGTAGAGGAGGGGGTCAACGCCCGGCGACGAGGTGCAGCGGCGGGAGCTTCGAGCTCGACCGGCCGCGGCCATGGAGGACGGCGGCGCAGAGGTGGGGCACTTGAGGGCGCGGCGCGGAGATGGACGCCGGCAGCGGCTGCTCTGTGGCAGGAGGCCATGGCGAGCAGGCGGTGGCCATGGACGCGAAGCAGCACGACGGCAAGCTCGCGGCAGGCTTCTGCAGCCACGGAAGAGGACGAGGCAAGGGGCGTCAGAGCTCCATGGATCGGGTGCAGCGCGACGCAGGAGGGAGGACGAGGGAATTGGGGATCGGGCGCTGGGAGCTGCGGCCTTGTGCACGAGCGAAGAGAGGGAAGGAGATGGGGATCGGGCAGGAGCGCATACGTGCGTTGGCGGCGCTGTAGGAGGAACGAGCGGAGATGGGATCGAGAGGAGATGGAGGTTGCGGCTGTGCCTTGGGCCGTCTAGGTCAGGCCGCAGGGATGGGTTAGGTGGGCCTTAAGCAGGCTTCTGCTATGCACTACTCACTTCTCTCTTCATAAACTCCTTATAGAAAAAAAGAGAGAGAGAAAAGAATCAAGAGAAGAGGCCATGGAGAAGAATACAATGGTGGGATATTTTTGTAAGGCTTTATGGAATATTTCCAACCAAACAAAAGTGGTTCCAGCAAAATAGGCGAAGTTAAATCCCAAAATTATTTAACTTGCCTCAAAGGATTTGAATGTAGTCTAGGATTTAGGAGTGGCCAAAATGTTGAGAAATTAAACAGGGCCTCGATAAATGGAGAAACAAATATCGGCAAGGTTTGGAGGTGAAACTTGAAGCAGAAGAGGCATGGAACTGAAATGCAAGTGTGTTATGGATAATTCCAAATTGATGGAATATTTCTTATAGCTCTCTAAATATCGAGAGGATATGTTATAAAAAGAACTCACCATGTGAATTCCCTCGATTTAAATGGATCAAAGATCCATGCCATTTTATCTAGTTGAGTTAAAAAAAGGCATGATGGCATGATGGCATGATGCAATGCACATGAAGCAAAGATGAATGCAACAGACAAAACTAAACACCCGACGAAACTCGGAAAACCAAGGAAGGCATCTAAAGCTCCGGTCTTGGGGCGTTACAAGCGATCACCAGATTTTATCTGACACTTGAAAGGGTGTATTTTATTAAGTATCCAGTTCTAGTTGTCACAAGGTCAAGGTACAACTCTGGGTCGTCCTTTTACCGAGGGACACAGCTATTCGAATAGATAAACTTCCCTGCAGGGGTGCACCACATAACCCAGCATGCTCGATCCCTCTGGACGGACACACATTCCTGGGTCATGCCCGGCCTCAGAAGATAAACATGTCGCAGCCCCACCTACGCACAACAGAGAGGTCAGCACGCCAGTCTAAATCCTATGCGCGCAGGGGTCTGGGCCCATTGCACACCTGCACATTATGAACGCGGCCGGAAGCAGACCTAGCCCCCTTAATACAAGCGCAGGCTTACGGTCCAATCCGGTGTGCACCGCTCAGTCGCTGACGTCAAGAAGGCTTCGGCTGATACCATGACGTTGAGTGCCCATAACTGCTCCCGCGTAGTTGGTTAGTGCGTATAGGCCAATGGCCAGACTCAGATCAAATACCAAGATCTCGTTAAGCGTGTCAATTGATGTAACGACGGACGCCGACCAGGGCTAGGCCCACCTCTCTCCTAGGTGGTCTCAACCTGCCCTTTCGCTCTGCCATAAAGGTCCACTCAGAGGGTCATCGGGACAAATGTCCTTTCAGTCCCAATCCGTGAATCACTCGCGGGTACTCTACGAGGCGACCCGACTTTAATCACCATAAGTATCACATATTATGTATATAAGTATATACCCATGATCACCTCCCGAGTGATCACGGCCCGATAGTATAGCATGGTAGACGGACAAGAATGTAGGGCCACTGATGGAATTCTAGCACCCTGTACTAAGCATTTAGGATTGCAGGTAAAGGTAACAACAGTAGTAGCAAAGACAGGCTATGCATTAGAATAGGATTAATGGAAAGCAGTAACATGCTACACTACTCTAATGCAAGCAGTGGAGAGAAGAATAGGCGATATCGGGGTTGATCAAAGGGGGGGCTTGCCTGGTTGCTTTGGCAAGGAGGGGTCCTCAACAACGTAGTCGATCGGGGCACCAGCAGCGGCGTTAGTCTCGTAGTCTACCGGAGAGAATAGGGGGAAGAAACAATGAATACAATGCAAATAGATGCATATCGATGCATGCCATGACCAGTAGCGGTGCCAGGTGTGCCCTAACACAGTAGGAGGTGATACCGGCGAATGGGGGAAACATGCGGGAAAGTATCCCCGGTGTTTCGCGTTTTCGGATAGATGAACCGAAGTGGAAAACTTGCGTGTTTTCTATGCTAGGGATGTGTGGCGGACGAACAGTCTATGTATTCAGATTCGTCTCATCGATCTGAGCAACTTTCATGTACAAAGTTTTTTCATCTGACATACGATTTATTTTCTATGAATTTACAAAGTTTTATTGTTTTTTTTTTGGAATTTATTCTAATTCAAAAATAATTAGTAAATTGCTAAGGTTACCCAAGGGTGGTCTACCCAGGAAGGGTACAGAGGGAATGACAATGGACCAGGGGGGTCCAGTCATTAGTTGACCAGTCAACTATTGACTGGTCAAAAGGGTCAAAGTGGACCCACATATCATAGTCACATTAGGTTAATTAGCTAGGCTATCTGATTAACTAGTTTAATTAAACAAGATTAGTTAAGTTAATTAATTAATTAATTTTCATTTTTATTAGTTTTATTATTATTTTTATTTTTTATTATCTATTATATAATTAAAACAAGAGTCAAACGAGCCACCACGTTCGTCCACATATGCCAATGTTTTTTACACCGTTTGATTAGAATAACAATGGTTGAGATTTAAAAGTTCTTACGTAACATGTAAAAATATATGTACCAATAATATTGAACTTTCATGTTGTCATGTTAGATCATAATAGAAGCATAATGTACGTGGAAAAAAGAAAGGCGTGCATTGACATGAGACCAGGATTGCAATAGGAAATACATGTTGTGCTTTGTGTCATGTCCAAATAGACTGGACACATGTTTAAGACAATCACAAGACAAGGAAATATATGTGTCTTTCCATCCAAAAGTTAGAGGCAAACACGACATGAAAATACATTAGGAAACAGAATCCCACGTGGACACGATTCCAAACTCCAACTCTCACAGATGCGTGCATGCAAATAAGATCTCGGACACAACACATAGAATCCCACGACCATAGAAAACTAAACACATCTAGCCGGCCAAACCAGCACACACCCAAGAAAGTACAAGCCAGCCTGAACTATGCGACCAAAACACAACCACAAGATTCAAAGTCAGTCGATACCATGCCCGACAAAGATCGAAGCCAGGAAAAACTAAAGTTTCACATGCAACTTGGTGCCGGCGCCGGACGAAGTCATGCCCAACCTTTGAGCTTCTCAAAAAAAATTGAAGCCAACCAAATCTTGGCCATGACCCGCACACATCCAATATTGAAGCCAGCCAAATCTATTGCCCGGCTAAGCACACCATTAATAAAAGAAGATTCTATAGCAGGCAGCGCAACTTTGCTCGACGTCTGACAATGTCATGCCGAAGCATGCTCAACGCCCGATGAAGCCACAACCAACTGCTCCAATCGACGTCGAAACAAGTGGCGCCAAAGAAATTCTCGCCTGAATCATCATATTTGGTAATTGTTATTTAGCAATTTTACTTTTTGCTTGACACTCGACAAAGTCATGCCCAACCATCCTTCTGAGTTACCCTGAATCATAAAGGTGCATAGTTATTATTCCGCATACATTCTTCATAGGAATATTGACTAAGAAAGTTCTAGCCTTCTTGCAGAGAAAACAATGGCATACAAGAAGCGTGGCGACTTCACAACAAGGAAGAAAAATTGAAACATTGAAGTGAAACTAATGAGAATGTGGGACTCAAATCTACAGCCGACGAGCTTATGGGCCTCAATATGATCTAGATGGATGAAGGGTTATTCCATAAGATATTTAATTGTAGATTGTTCCATCATTTTAAAACTAAAACAACTTTTGTTTTTCTGTGGAAGTCCTTCCTCTGGACAAAGATTACATTAGAGGTGCCTCTACCCGAAAGAGCATACAGTCAGTAAGTATATTTTTGTTGTTCTTATAGGGCAACACAATTCATGCTAATGTCTGGGAGAATCTGATACACATAGAAATAGAAGATAAATGAGAAATCTATTTATTTGACAATTTGAAAGGTGAAAAGATCATCACAAGGTTATCCACATTACTACTTCGATATTGCTGGCAAAGACATATTACAAGAACGGACCGAGAAATATAAACAATGCTCAGGTATGTCTATACTTTGTATGCATACCCATTCTTCTAATATTAATTGGACTTCAACCATTGCTATAAGCATTAACCTTTTCTGCTTATACTCTTTAGGGGTAATAATCCTTACTGTAACCTCCATAATAGTACAAACGTTCAACGGTAAGCCAAGTAACGTTACAAGCTCTTCTTTTTAATTAGTAATAATATCTAATATATTTATCATTGTCTAACTATGGTTGTACCGAAAGTCAATCAATGCCACAAGAATATATACAAATCTAGAATATCTGAAACTCGGGAACTTCTTAACAAGTATGAGACTATATCCTTTATTACTTATGAACTAATGAATCATATCCAAAAGATATTGGTTAGTAGCTTATCCAGTGAATCTAAGGACTATTTTATTTACTGAGATAGAGAAAGCATACTTAACATCTACCAACAACGACACCTATTAGATAAATAATTAATATACTGAGATAGTGTCTGTCAGCACTATCAAAACCATGTCATGTTGTAAATTTTGAAATACATTCAGACATACACTTTTTTGAATTGTATGTTCTGCAATTTTAAAGTTGTGGAATAAAAAAATGCAATATAAATATATAGTAAGATTACTTGATAGCATGTGATATTACCACTATGTCCTTAATATAGAAAAGATTCAATACTTTCTTTCTATTTTTATATATACTTTACTACTATTTTTTCTAAGTAACAATTACCTGAACATATATTAGTTCACCATTACCAGCGCGTTCGTGAAAAGGCTGGACATTCAGCACATATACACCTACCAACCAGAGTTCTACATATTACCGATGCTTCACTTCACAACTTGAATAAATTATGTTTTCCTAATATGTATGATGGAAGAAAAATAGGCGGGAACTTACCTTGCTTCATAAGCTTAATAGCAAAACATGATACAAGTTGATCAGCAGGCTCTCCAGTGCTCCATATAAGGCTAGATTTGCCCCGTGTCGCCATTATGACTACAAAAAGCTTCCCACATTTAGACTTAGAAGCAAAGAAAATCCACTAACTAATCAAATTACTTCAAAATCAGTAGTCATCCATCAAAATTATTTTCGCACTAGGTTTCTTAACATCTTGAATAGCAAGAAATCACATTGATATAGGACTATCAAAAGTATGGATATCCACATATGCTAAAAGACTCAATCGTTAATCTTAGATCTTAACAATCCAGATTTTAAGGCGCAAGTTTTACATGTTAAACAACATCTTGTCGTGTTGCCTTGGCTAAGCCGCACCATCTCATTGAGCCGCATCAGGAATCCTAGAATATTGGTAGAGATAGTTAGGTAGTTGGTTTATGTTTATCTCTTGTAACCTATTCTATCTCTTCCTCTCCAAGTCTTCTGTAAAGATCTCAACTGTATGCGCCTCAGGGTTATTGCGCCCCTGCCTATAACATGCAGCACGTCCCCTCACACCGAGGTTGAGACGTTTCCGCACATCGCACATGGTAATCAGAGCGATCCTCTCCAAAGCCATCTAGCGATCCAATCTCCAGCCATGTCTTCCTCCGGCGCTTCCCAGACCAACCTCAGCGACCAAGTCATGGAGAAGCTGACCTGCACCAACTATGTCCTCTGGCGTGCGCAGGTGACGCCGCAGCTCAGGGGCGCAGGAATGTTCGGGTACGCCGACGGCACAACACCGGAGCCGCCCAAGTTCCTCACCACCAAAGATAAGGATGGGAAGGAAACCTCTGAGCCCAACCCTCTCCACCTTCTTTGGGTCCGGGAGGACTAGCAAGTGCTAGGCTATCTCCTCAGCACCCTCACCAAGGAGGTCCTGCTGCAGGTGACCACGATCACCACGGCGAGCGTGCTCTGGACGATGCTCGCAGGTATGTTTTCCTCGCCGTCTCTGAGCCATGTCAATAATATTCGCACGGCCCTGCTCAGCACGCAGAAGGGCACCCAATCGGTCACCACCTTCCTCTCCCATATGCGTGGCCTCGCCGATGAGCTAGCGGCCACCGGCAAGCCTCTGCAGGACGACGAGCTAATCAACTACATCCTTCACGGCCTCGACATGGAGTACCAACCCTTGGTCTCTGCCCTCGACGTCCGCACCACCCCGGTCTCTGTCAGGACCCCGATTCTAAGTCACACCGATCTAGCCTGTAACACCTCATATCACCTTGCGGCCTCATGCACGGTATTCCCACGGGTGTCGCCTTACCATGGCCCGAAACCGTTTGCGCCTTTTGGCTCACGTATATGATAGTGTCGCTAGCATCCATATGACAGAGAACCCGGGCCGACATGACTAGTCATGAACCCAAAGTGGCACTAACTTACGAGGACAGGCATACATGAATCGACATCGAGCATGTCGGTCAGCAGTGTGTGAATCTGGGCTGTAGCAACTGGGCTAACAGGACTCCGGGAACCCGGGCTATAGCAGGCTAGCAGGACTCCGGATGTCACCGCGTGACATTTCCCCGAAGGGACAGACACAGGAACAAAGTGAATCACATGCCGGCCAGTCTAAGTGTTCTGGAGCAGTAGTGATGGGCTAGCAGGACTCCGGTGAACCGGGCTGTAGCGGACTACTATGGCTCATGGAAGCACAAGACTACATTTCCCCATAAGAGAGGCTACCAAGGATAAACAACTAGGTTGTCAGATCCCACACATACCAAGCATTTCAATCATACACACAATATGCTCGATATGTGTAATACAACATGGCATCACAACAAAACTCTACGACTCAAAGTATATATTCATTAGGCTCCGAAGAGCCAAGAATTACAAACATGGGTCTCATGACCCAACATACAGAGCATACAAGCAACAAGCACATGCGGAAGGATAACTTGTCTAAGTACAGACAACTACAAATGAAAAAGGCTGAGAAGCCTGACTATCTACAAGACCCTCCCAAAGGTACAAGATCGTAGCTGAGGTAACAAGCTAAACTTCGAAGTCCGCGCGATACTACTAGTGAGACTGAATTCTCTCTTCAAAACATAAATTAAGCAAACGTGAGTACAAATGTATCCAGCAAGACTTACATCAGAACTAAACTACATACGCATCGGTATCATCAAAGGGGTGGTGGAGTTTAACTGCAGCAAGGCAGCTTTGACTCAGTGGCTAACCTGAACTACGACTACAAGTAACTATTTTGAGGTGGCGCACACGAGTCCAGAAATTCACCATACCAATACACCACTATGGATCCGCTCCCGTCTCCCTACGAGAACGCCATCCATAGCACTCACGCTTATCTTGCGCATTTTAGAGTATCCACTTTCACTTTTCTATGAACTATACAAGGGGTCCAAGTTTCCATATCCGAGGAATCCGGCTATTCGAATAGATAATGAAAACCCTGTAGGGGTGTACTTCTTCACACACGCTCTCGCCACTTACCACCATGTACACGTCGTGTATCTCGGCAACCTTCAAGCGGAAGCCTGGTGAGGGAGTCAGCCATGACCTGACTAATCGCACAAGTCTCTCGTCCAGGTTTATCGCCTATTCGGGTTCCATCCGCAAGGAGACCCGGCCGGGGTGTCGCTCACGGCCCCAAACGATGCGTGGAGGGTTCCCAAGCCCACCATTCGGGTGCCACTTGCTACACCGTGCCACTGTGCCTAGTCTGTCCCAAGCCCACCTGTACCGGGTGCCACTTGGTAGACTACTAACACTACCTACAAACACCAGAAACTAGTTGCAACTCCTGGACAGAGATCGAGTTGATTAATAAGCCGAGAGGGGCCGAGTTACCGGAACCCAATGTGTGGTAGTAATTGTTCATGGATCACAAACACAGAACTCAGTTCCTGAGAACGGCTGCAATGAGACAACCCACCATGTACTCCTACATGGCCTCTCACCGCTACCTTTACCAAATCGTGTTCACACACTTAGCTCTCAACGGTAGGACATGTTCACCACATTCCAATTCATTTCCGATGAATCAGACCCGACTCAACTCTGAGAAGTAGCAGGCATGACAACAAGCATGAATGAGTAGGCACATCAGGGCTCAAGCAATTCCTACTCATGCTAGTGGGTTTCATCTATTTACTGTGGCAATGACAGGTCATGCAGAGGAAAGGGGTTCAACTACCGCAGCATGTAACAGTTGAATCGTTGTTGTCCTAATGCAGTAAAAGAGAGCAGCAGCGAGAGAATAGGATTGTATCGGAATGAACAAGGGGATTTTGCTTGCCTGGCACTTCTGAAGATATTATAGCTCTTCATCGGTATCATCGAACTCATCGTCGGGATACGCCTACCGAGAGGGGACAAGCACTGGCAATAGAGAAGAACACAATCAATGCAAATACGACAATATGATGCATGATCATGGCATGTATATGTGATGTTGTTTGTGCTAATGCAAACAACAACAAGTTCAATGGAGCTCATTTGAATCAAGGATTCAAATGCAACTCCAAACTTAAGCATTTTAAATGCCCTTTATGTGTTTTCATCTATACAACAGGTTTAGGTTGGTTTTTCATGCATGAAACTAGTACATATGGATAGACTGAATTTTTTTGATAATTTTGCATATATAATTTATTTCATTCTGAGCTACGGTTGAATTTCTATGATTTTTAGAAGTTTGGGGTATTTTCTGAAATTTATAAGTCATTTCTGATTTATTTTAATTCCAGAAAACTTTACTGCGTCAGCATTGCGTCATCATGACGTCAACAGGTCAACAGGGCGTGGTCCAGGTCAAACCTGACCTGTGGGGCCCGCACGTCAGTGTAACAGGGCAGGAACAAAGGCTGACTTGTGGGGCCAGGTCAACAGCCACATCAGCACGGTCAAAGCTGACGTGTGGGTCCCACAGGATTATAACTAATCTAAGCAGAAATAAAGCTGGGGTTAATTAGGGCATGGGGCCCATTTGTCAGTGAGCAAGGGAGGGTTAATTAGGGGGTGATTAGCCCCTAACAGTGGTTGTCACCGGCGGCTAATCGCCGGCGAGCACACAGACGTGGCGAAGTCGCCCTTCCAGCCAACTCCGGTGATGGATGGATGCGTGGCTGGGTTCTACGGGAAGCTGGCATTGCGGCGCGTCCGACGGTGGTCTCGGGAAGGCCCGAGGTGGACGGTAGCGACGACGACGACATCAACAGCGGCGGCCGGGGCTTGGGCGTGCTTGGGGTCGAGGCTACGGCGTGCTAACGGACGACCCGAAGCACTTGAGAGGCTCTACGGTGTGCGGAGAGCTTGCTGGACATGCTGGGGTGACCAAATGGTCGCCGAAGCAACGCCGGCGACAAACTCTTGCGGCGGTGGGTTTCGGCCATCGGCGAAGCGGCGAAGTGGCAGCTACGACATGCAAACGAGAAAACGGAGAGGGGGAGGAGGAGGAGCAGCTCACAGCGGTTGCAGCAGGCGTCGAAGCGGGCTCGGGGAAGCTCGGGAGGCGGCGAATCGACGGCGACGATATCCGGTGGCCGACGAAGGAAACGGTAGCGGTGGCAGTGTTGCAGCGCGTCCGGGGCCTCGTGGCTCGTCGAGGGGGTCAGGGATGTCGAGACGGAGCTCACAGGCACGGCGAGGGGTCGAGGGGGAGGCGGTGGCCGCGGCAACGACGAGCGGCGGCGACGGCTCCGCTCGGCTTCGGAAGAGAGAGCGAGAGCAGAGGATAGGAGGGCCACGGGGAAGAGTGAGAGGGGTCAGGGGGTTGCGTGGCATGTTCAGGGCGTCGGGGGAGTGAAGCAGGCAGGGTGGAGGTGGCCTGCGCGTGGCCAGCAGGCGGCGAGCACGCGCCCCTATCCTTCTGTCCAAGGAGGAAGACGACATGGGGTAGCGGTGGTGGGCTGGGCCGCCAGCTACAGTACTGGGCCTGTTGGTGGGCGCCAGGTAAGCTTCTTCCAGGTAAGTCCCTCTCTCTCTTTTTATTTTTGTTTTCTATTTTCTACTGTTTGTTTTGATTTGATCTAAATACCAAATCAATTTGAAACTTCATGGAAATAA